CCACCCCAATTCAGTGCACCATCCCCTGTGCTCATCACCCCACTGGACTATAGTACCAAACCAATGAAACTGAAACAATGGTAGATTGACTACAACTCCAAACTTTTGAACAGTTGTATATAATAGCAAATATTAAAATAAAAGTATTGGGGTTAGTATTAAAATGTAAAATAAAATATAAAAATATAAAAAATGAAAAAAAATGAAAAAATATTAAAGTAAAATATTAAAGTAAAATATTAAAATAAAATGATTAGTAAATTAGTGGTTAGTAAAATAATAAAAAATAATAAAAGCCTTGAAATTGTTACACACACACATACACACACACCAATACTTTTATTTTAATATTTGCTCTGCTGAGAAATGCCAAGTTTTAGGCAGTATAAACACCAGAGTGAGTCTGTAAAATATATTATTTGCTTTAACTGACCACATTTACAATTCACAAATCATCCCCAAGAGAAAGATATGTGGTATCATATATGCATGTTATTGTCCACCTAGGACTGAGTTTATATTTTTGTACAAGTTAAATATACTTTTTTGTGGGTTACTAAATGGTTCCTGATAATTCAACGCATCGTGACCAGTTTCCTTTTTCAAACTGGAGCAACAGATAGAGCTTTCACTGCTTATGCTCAGACTGAGGGCTGTCATTAGTGGAAATGGTCAACCAATCAATGGCTCAAATGTGGTCAGTTCAGGAAGGGGGATTTGCTCGGATTGAGTGAAGCGGTTGGGACTTTCCAGACCTGACCGTACTGATGCTGCTCCCTCTCTGCCTGACCATATATTTGGCTTATTAAAAGTAATTTTATTCAGAATTAAAGGCTAGTTATTCTGTTGTGACTACAGCCTGGTTGTCGACATAAGGTCATACTACCTTAAGGTGTGTGTGTGTGTGTGTGTGTGTGTGTGTGTGTGTGTGTTACAAAATATGTTAACAGTTATTATACACTACTATTCAAAAGTTACTATTCTAGGGTCAGTAAGATTTTTTTTTAAAGAAAATAATACTTTCATGCAGCAAGAATGCATTCAACTGATCAAAGAAAACAAAAATGTATCAGTTCTATAAAAATACCAAGCAGCACAACTGTTTTCAACATTGATAATAATAAGAAATGTTTCTTTAGCTGCAAATATTAGAATGATTTCTGAAGGATCATGTGCAAAGGCTGCTGAAAATTCAGCTTTGCCATCACAGAAATAGATGACATTTTAATATCTTTGAAGCTTGAAGATCCTGCCTTTTAGCATAATGAGCCTGGTTTCACACATTTGTGACTCCTGATTAATGATTGCCCTCTGGTGGGAGACTCAGACGATGCTTTCAGTAGCTTCATTCATATGATGCCTTAAAAGAAACAATAATCTCTTTTCTCTGTTATGATACAGTAAACTCAGGGTTTTCAACCAAGGTCCTGGTAAATGCATGGGGACATATCAAATAAATATAACATTTCTGTAACACATTTCATGACATTGTAACTATTTGAATGAACATTATCTAGTGATGTGATAATGTAATATAATTTATTTGTTTACTTTTTATTTATACTTTTAAACTATTTATTAATTTAACTTTTATTGTTTTTAACATCTCCGGCTCTTCTGGATACATTTCTATAGTCGTATACACACACACTACCATTTGTAAGTTTTTAAATGCACCAGGGCTGCATTTATTTGATCATAAAAGCAAGCAGTATTATTGTGAAAAAAATACTATTTAAAATAACTTTTCTATTTTAGTACAATTTTAAATGTAATTTACTCCTGTGATGGCAAAGCTGAATTTTCAGCATCATTACTCCAGTCTTCAGTGTCACATGATCCTTCAGAAAACATTCCAATATGCTGATATGGTGAGAAATATTGATTATTATTGTTATTGTTGAAAACAGTTGTGCTGTTTAATATTTTATGGAAACCGTGGTACATTTTTAAGACATTTTTTTTAGGATTCTTTGATACATAGAAAATTCAAAAGACCAGCATTTATTTGAAGTGGACATCTTTTGTAACGTTATAAATGTCTTTATTGTCACTTTTGATCATTTTAATGCATCCTTCCTAAATAAAAGTATTAATTTCTTTAAAAAAAGAGAGAAAACAATATTCCTGAACCCAAACTTTTGAACAGTAAATGTCTTATTTCTTTGATATCTTGAATTCGCCACTTATTGTAACATAGCATATAGTGGAACAACCTGGTAAGAATAAGTCCTTTGCCCAATTATAACTCAGCCCTTACGTCCTCTCAAGAGTAGGACCTCCAGGTCCAGTGGCCCCTCCCCCCCCACCCAAACCTCAGCTGCCCCACCTCCTCCTCCCGCTCACCCTCATGCTCTTTTCTCCTGGTTGCCTGGGCAATGCCTAACAAAGCCATCATTTCACCAATTTCCACAGAAACAGGTGCTGGTACAATGGCCGCTTCCTTCTGCACTGAAAGAGAAGGTTAGTGAGGTTCATGGGAACTCGGGTGGACAATCTCAGGGCTGTCCAAGTGTCGTCCTTAGGCTCTGACATAAAAGAAGGCTAATTTGTTGTCGCTGTTTTCCCAGGAGGGGGGGAAAGGAGGGGGACACACATTTTTTGGAGAAACAGACCTTGTGATATCAATCTCAGAGTACCCGAGAGCTCTTTTTCTGATGTGCTTGACGTCCAGTGTTTTGCCTATGTAGAATGACACATGTTTTATGTGTATGGTAAAGTCAAAGAAGCCAGGACAAAAGCAGAAGTGATGTCATTGTTATGAGATGTTTCATTGGCTATTTGATGCTGGGATCCACCTGTATTGCACACTATTCCTGGTCTCTTCTGCCTTCCTCACACCTCAGAACTGAAATTGAGGGGTTGCTGGCAGCATTGCAAAGTCTGGATATTTGGGGAAGGGGAGGATCCTTTTTGCATAGTCTTAAATTATGAATTGTGGAAACCATTTCAGAAAACTTTCACAACTGCATGAGACAATGTTTGAAAAACTTCTCTCTCTTTTTTTTTCAGCAGTTGAAAGGCCATTCAGGTAAAAGTGAAAATATTAAACTTATTTTGCAATATGAAGATTCAAATTAATCACATTTTATTATATTATAAAAATTATATTATGAACTCTAATTTGTTTTATAAACATAAATATTGCAGAAAATGCATGTATTATCAAACTCTCATGACTGTAATAAAAAGAAAATCAGTTTAATTTTCATCATGAACATTAAGTTTCATTAAGTAACAATGTTGTGATTGATTGTTTGATTGTCTTATGAAATTCAGGCATAGTAACATCTCTTCTGTTCATTTATGGTATTTGCAGAGTTCATGCTGATTAATGCAGTCTATTGAGAAGGTCTTGTTTACCTCTATTAGTGGTGTTGTTTGCCCCCACATCAGGCTCCAAAGCACTGCCTCCTATGGTTCAACTTGGGGGCCACCAATGCACAAAGTAAAACACACTACAAAAGAGTATAATAAAACATGCCACTGAACAGAAACGGGGAGAGAAAGAGAGAGACTGCAGGAGAGAGAAGCGAAGGGAGGGGAGAAGTCGAAAGAGAGAGAGAGAGAGAGAGAGAGAGAGAGAGAGAGAGAGAGAGAGAGAGAGAGAGAGAGAGAGAGAGAGAGAGAGAGAGAGAGAGAGAGAGAGAGAGAGAGAGAGACTTGTAAACCTGTCTGAAAACATTCCAATAACAGTGGAAGAATGTAAGCTTATTTGAGTCTCGTCTAGAATGTCTTTGTCAGTAAACTACACACCTTAAAGACAGACAGACACAAACAAGGATTCTTAAAAGGCAAACATCAAGTGCAAGTTGAAAAAAAACATGATCTTATAATGCAATAACAGTTTAAAACATGTTTCGATTTAAACGTATAAATGTCCTTTAACACAGCAACAATATGAATTTTAAAAGTAATTTTAGCAACAAAAATAACTGCACTGAAAACAATTATGTTGAATTTACTTAAAATATAAATGGCAATGCACAATTTTTGCAACACACTTTTTTTAGTTAAAATTAACAAGAAACCCTTTGTTCCTTAAATATATGATTGCACTCAACATTCTTTTCTTAAAAAATATTGAACACAATAAATATACTAAGTAATTGCAAGTTTTGTTAACTTAACATTCAAGGTCATTTACATTTAAAAAAGACAATTAATTGAGTTGAACCAATATAAAATTGAGCAATAGAATAAAACTGGTCTTGACATGTGATTTTGCATTGACATCAATGTAATTTGTGTGACTAAAATTATTTAGCTTATTCAAGTAGATAAAATAAAGAATAAATAAAAAAATTAAATTAACTATAGGGAATCTATCCAAAAGGCCACTTATATGTCAAATAGCCACATAAAGAGAAAAAGTGTGAATTTACTGTCTTTGCAAACACTTGAATGTGCAACTTTATAAAGTGTTTTTTTGTGTTTTTGTATATAAAGTGTATAAAGTGTTTTTTGTGAAAAAAAGAAGTGTTTTTGCTGAACCAAGCTCTGAAAACACGTGAAGCAGTGTTATTTTATTATTATTACTCTATACTATTATGGTTTTTATTAATATTTGAATTATCTTATTTTATTTCAGTTAGTTCATCTAATATTTATGTTTTATTTCAATTAACAAAAATATTGTTTAATAGTTTTAATTTTAGTTAACAAAAACATAAACATTATGAACCTTCCCAAACAATTCCCAAAACCTCAAACTCTGTTTACATCAAAATCTACTGTAACTGTATATACAATAGAGCTTTTTATTTGCTGTTTTGATATGGCTGGTAACAGGAGACAACTACATTTTACATTACACAAGTAAATTATCCAGTTGATGTATTTGTAAATATTTTATAAATATACAGGTGCAAATACCCATATAAAGGTAAAAAATAAATAAACTGTATCTTAATTAAAAAAATAATTTCTGGCACTTCTGGTACCGTAGTCGTAGTGCATGAACGCATGAACAGATAAGTTACAGGACTTGTATTTTAAAAAGCTTATTTCCGGTCCTGTCAGGAAACTCCTCTGGAAAATAAAAAAATAAAAGTGGATGGTGTCCCGTAAACCGAGCGGTTGTCTTGATATTATCTGGCTAAATCTCGACGACTTAAAATTCAACCTGGACCGATTAAATGGACAAATAAGGTGAGGGAATAACGCCTCTTTTGCCATAGTCGTACAATGAGTATCGCCACCTTTGAAAAGCTGCTAAATCAAAACAAATCCAGCACTTCGATAAAGCTAAGCTAGAGCTAAGGGACACTCCGTTAGCCAGTGTGTAAACAGTGAGTCTCTTTCACAGATGTACTCAAAACTTTGACGTTATGTGTATTAAAGCTGTACAGTTATTTTCTTGGTTCTGCCTAAAGGAAATCTGCTAGTGCGTAAGGTTTGTATAAGGGATACTCTGGGCCCTGTCAAATTGGTTATCATTATCAACAACACGAGAGCAATATTTCATTCTTTTAAAATGTCATTCTAACGTCCATAACATCGAGTTAGTTTGTGTATTTGCCTGATTGAAGTCACATTTCTATTTTGCTGCATTGTCATAATTCAGCATTTCACTCTCCAGATCAACCATTTAACTCACACGAGTAGAAGTTGTGTTATGATTAAACTTAATTAAATAGGTTTTAGACGGAAAGCACTGCGGTTAAATGTAAATAGATAACACGTCTAAGTTAAGTTACTCTACATGCATTTTATTGTTAAGGAATGTTCATCACATTCCGATAGAGTCAGTGAATTCATTTGTGATGTATGCTTTGGGACATGTGTTGCTGTCATATTTGCTTTTCGTGCTGTTTTCAAACTTGTTTGCATAGAGTTCAAACTGCTTGATCTCTAGATAATAATTTTCAAGGTAACAACTTTTTTGGTGCAATGTTCAGATTGCTCATGCATGCACAGATGTGCTTGCAATCATGTTGGCATGCTTTGAATGTATTTTTAAGTAAGGGTTTTAATCTTTTAATGACTTCTTATCTGAATTAGGGAAGTAGTTAAAATCAAAATGGACAATTCTTATTTTTATGGAATGTTGCAGTATTTATGAACTGAATGATTTATCCATGCGCTTCCCCTCTCTCTTGTAATGACATTTCTTCTCTGATAATGTGTTTACTGGTGTGAGGGAGAGACAAATCGTCATTCACATGAGATCACAGCAATAGCAAACCACAACGATCCAACAAACCAATCAATTCCCGCCCTACATTTTTTCTGGTTTGAGAAGCAGTTACATTTGGATGTACATCACAATAGTTTTTTTTTCATTTAGCAGATACTTCTTCATAAACATAAGCATAAACTTAAAAAAAAAATTTTTGTTCCTAAGGGGTACCAGTGCACGCCTAGATACCACAGGAATGGATATCACAAGTCGTTGCACCCTGGGTGACCCCAACAAGCTCCCAGAGGGAGTGCCTCAGCCTGCCCGGATGCCCTACATCTCGGACAAGCACCCTCGGCAGACCTTGGAAGTCATCAACCTGCTCCGCAAGCATCGAGAGCTGTGCGATGTGGTTTTGGTGGTGGGAGCCAAGAAGATTTATGCACACCGTGTGATCCTGTCCGCCTGCAGCCCCTATTTCAGAGCCATGTTCACGGGGGAACTGGCCGAGAGCCGGCAGACGGAAGTTGTCATCCGGGATATTGATGAACGAGCCATGGAGCTGCTCATCGACTTTGCCTATACCTCCCAGGTATGCATTTCTATTGCTGTATGTTCAATATTAGAGCTGCACTAAATGTTCAACTATTGTACATTTTTATATTAAGCTCCAGTGCTTGTATTGAAGTTCAATATTAAACTTTAAACCAGCTGATGTAAATTGTGTGGTGGCCTGCAGGTGACTGTGGAGGAGGGAAATGTGCAGACTTTGCTGCCCGCTGCTTGCTTGTTGCAGCTGGCAGAGATTCAGGAAGCCTGCTGTGAATTCCTCAAGCGCCAACTTGACCCCTCGAACTGCTTAGGCATCAGGGCCTTCGCCGACACTCACTCCTGCAGAGAGCTGCTGCGTATAGCTGATAAGTTCACCCAGCATAACTTTCAGGAGGTAATGGCTGACCTCCACACACCCTCTATTGTGTTGACACTGAATGTACCATGACTTTGAACTTGAGTCTTTTTGTTTTCTTTTCTCATTTGTTTTTGCTGTCTTTGGTTGTGCAGCACAGGTCTAAATGTCCTCTATTAATCATAAATGCAATTACAATGTAGGTAACACTTTACTGTAAAGTTCAATAAGTTAATTTTAGTTAATATATTAGGTCTCTGAACAACAATTTTAATCATTTAATCAATCATTTATTCATTTTTGTTGTTGAAATTAATTTATAAATCTATTGTTCACTGAACCACTGCTAATTTATTTTTTATCATAATATATTCATTTTAATTTATAAAATGTAAAACACTTTTTAAAATATCTTTTAGATTTATTATTTTTCTTATTTTATTCAGAAGAAAAGAAAGAAATTAAATTAATCATTTAATTCAGCAAGGATGCATTTAACTGATTAAAAGTGACAGTTAAAGGGATAGTTCAATTCAAAATGAAAATGGTCATCTTATACTCACCCTCAAGTTGTTTCAAACCTGTATGAATTTCTTTCTTCTGCTGAACACAAAGGAAGATATTTTGAAGAATGTCCGTAACCAAACAGTTAACTGGACCCATTGACTTCCATAGTAGGAAAAAAAATACTATGAAAGTCAATGGGTCCAGTTAACTGTTTGGTTACTGACATTCGTCAAATTATCTTCCTTTGTGTTCAGCACAAAGGAAGATATTTTAATATATATATATATAATATATAAGTATATTTAATATATATGTATATATAAGAAATAGACAGACACATATGATGTAAACAAAAACTTTAGAATTGATTAATTGCGATTAATCAACTTGACAGCACTAGTTATTTTAAATTGATTTTTTTTTTCACAATATTGCTGTATTTTTTATTTAAAAAATGCAACCTTGGGGAGCATAAGAGGATTCTTTCTAAAACATTTTAAAAATCTTACCGACCTCATACCTTTGATGTTATAAATATTGTGTAAGTATTGTCCTTTTTAGTTCATGATAGCTAGTGTTTGAACTGAAGTTAAAGAAGCCTTAGTGTACATTGATCTTGCATGGTTTTGTTTTAAAAAGAAAGCTAGATTCGAGAAGTAGTTCTGGTTGTAATTATCATAAGGATTGTTACATTCCTGGAAAACCTGTACATTTCAGACAATTTAGAAAAAAATGTTGATTTCCAGGCTTGGAGAAGTCATCAAAATAAATAGTCAATATAAATGTTTCTAAAAATAGTAATTAAAATATTTCTTCGGTTTTTACTTTTGAAAATTACACTGATCAGAAAGAACCCTGTATATGTGCCTTAAGTGTGACTTCCCTGTTTCTAATTTTAGCCATGGACTTAACCTTTCCATCAACTAGTTTAGGGTTTCCCTGATGGCCATGTAACCCTGTTATTTTTGACTCATGGGAAGAACCCCCATTGCTGGTATCAAATTAACACCCTCCTTATTTCTTTATTTAGTTTAAAAGGGTCATATGCACTGCTGGTGTTATGGGTTCAATTCCCAGGAAAAATATAAACTATATATGTGTGAAACTGTGAATGTGTTTTTACAAATAATTGTGATCTGCTTCTTGAAAGGAATTGATACCCGTCACATGGCCTGTTCATGTTTTTAATCATTTGTGCCTTTTAGGTGATGGAGAGTGAAGAGTTCATGCTGCTGCCAGCCAACCAGCTGATAGACATCATCTCCAGTGATGAGCTCAATGTTCGGAGTGAGGAGCAGGTGTTTAATGCTGTAATGGCCTGGGTTAAATACAGCATTCAGGAGCGCAGGCCTCAGCTGCCACAGGTCGGATATAAGCATATGAATCACTATAGACATACTGCTTGTTGTAGATGCACATCATTTGGAAGAAAATAAAACTAAGTAGTTTTGTATATGTAGTATATATCAAATTTTTGCCCTCTAGCAGTTAAAAAACAAAACTGCACGCATTTTGTAGAAGAACATTGTTTTGGTTGTGCTTCCGCTCTGCGTGACTCTGTGGATGAATATGGCTCTTCCTCATAGCTAAAAAAAGAGAAGAGAGATTATCCTACTGCTCATAAAACATTTACTACTAGGCTTAAGAGATATAACCAGTGATTTTAGATGGAAAGGATCTCAAGCTGACTAGCTGAAGATGTTACTATATCTATACCCATTAATAGTCACGGTACTTCCTTGAAAATAAATCCGAGAACAGTGCTACAACAACCACAATGAAATGACCTTTCACAATCGATAATGCTTTACAATGAACAATGTTAAAGAGCTACATATGGCAATTGATCTGGTCTGTAAAATACCATACTACCTGTTGAGTAATAAAACACCATCTCTTCATCGCTATTTCAAATCCCTCAGTTCTTGCCATCTCTGAAAAGCCAAGCCAATGTTGATTCTGGTTTTATTACGAGCTCTGTCGCATTCTTTTTGCCAGCAGACACTCCTCTCTTCTGCGTTTTTTAAAAACAGGTGACTCCCCAGAGGTTCGAGATTTAGCTAACCTATGCCACTCCCACACCATACATGCATGAAAGTAGCCGGAGCAACTTTTCTCTATTTATGGATATGAGGAGACAGCACAGGCGAGTGACGTATATACGCAATTTCCTGCGAAAACTATCCCGCTAGGTCTAAAATATAAACACTCATAATAGTCCATAGTAAATCAGGGTAAGACAAAAACCCAATTTGGAATTTGACTTATGTACATTTTGTTCATTCTTAACAAAAAAAGGTTCCGTCGTGTACAAATTCTTCTCTTTTACATGTATATTATGTTATTATTTAGACTTAGACTAATTCATGAGACCTCTCATCCGTTTTTGTCATGGCAACAGGTTCTGCAACATGTGCGTCTTCCCCTCTTGAGCCCGAAGTTTCTCGTTGGGACAGTGGGTTCAGATCCTCTGATCAAGAGTGATGAGGAGTGTAGGTACGTGTGAACAACAGTGCTATAAATTACTTCAATAATTGGACTATTGTAGTATTTACCATATTATCTACACTGGCCACTACAGATTAAATGTACGACTTTATGCCCCTTTTGTCAAAGTCCAATATCTAATAAAGAGCATAATTGAATGAACTGTGATGGTTTTAACTGCTATAGGTCTCTTTACTGGTCAGTTAATTCTTATGAAAAAGTTTTTAATGTAGTGAGACCAGATTTTTCAAAGACAAACTTTGAAAACCTTATGTTAATACGATAGCTATTTTGACATAATTGTGTGTGTATTTGATATTCAAGCGCAATAAGCCATGAAAGAGAACTGAACTGTCTGTTTATATAAACTGAATATTGTATTCAATAAATAGTAAATAGAGTCGTCTGACTCTTCTACTCTACAGCAGCCCACATTCAAATTAAAGTCGATGGGTGGTCGCTCCTTTACGGTTACCGCCCCACGGTTGTGGAATAAACTTCCTTTTGCGATTAAATTCCCCAACTTTGGACTGCTTTAAGAGGTCTTTAAAGACCCATCTTTTTAAAAATGTTTATTGTCTTTGAAGTGTATTATGTCTGGTATTATCTTGTATGTCGTTGTTGGATTTTTCTGTTTTTAATTATTGTTTAATTATCTTAAATTTGTTTACCATACTGTGTAGCGCTTTGGGTTGGAGAAAAGCGCATTATAAATAAAATGCATCATCATCATAGTATAAAAAACCTTTTCATGCCCTTGAAAAGTTCATGTTTTATAGGTCATATAGGTCAATATAATGTGTCTGTCTTACTGAGCTAACAGCCATTTGCAATCAATCTGAACCATTAAAATAATATATTTTTTTTTTAATTCTCTATAAAATTTCCATTCCAATCTCTAAATTGTGTCAGCACATATTAATCAACACTTTTTGCCCTTATAGGGACTTGGTCGATGAAGCAAAGAACTACCTTCTGCTACCCCAAGAGCGCCCCCTAATGCAGGGACCTAGAACCCGGCCCAGAAAGCCTATTCGTTGTGGAGAAGTACTGTTTGCTGGTGAGTGTTTTAGCAAACAGATCTTAGTTCTTATTCCACTGATTGATTTTTGTTCACTTTCCAAGATTTTCCCCTGCCACATCTGACTTAAGCAGTCGTGTGATGTGAGTTCTGTTTGTGTGACTCTTGTCCTGTCTGCCAGTGGGAGGTTGGTGCAGTGGTGACGCCATCTCAAGCGTTGAGCGCTACGACCCCCAGACCAATGAGTGGAGGATGGTGGCGTCCATGAGCAAACGGCGCTGTGGAGTTGGTGTCAGTGTTCTGGATGATCTGTTGTATGCTGTTGGCGGACATGACGGCTCGTCTTATCTCAATAGTGTGGAAAGGTGCTGCTTGAATTACACAAATGAATCAGCATTTATCTAGAATCTAATTAATAAATCCTCACAGAATTAAATAAATTACATTTTTATGGATAAATACGAACTCTTCATTTCCGCCCTCTGCTGGCTCTGTCAGGTATGACCCAAAGACTAACCAGTGGAGCAGTGATGTCGCCCCTACTAGCACCTGCAGGACCAGTGTGGGTGTTGCTGTATTAGGGGGTTACCTGTATGCTGTGGGAGGTCAGGATGGCGTTTCCTGTCTCAACATTGTAGAAAGGTTAGTATTAAAATAATTAGATGATTATTATCTAAATATCTCCATGGGCATGGCTTGCATTTTCCTTTGGTAGGGGATATAATGAGATATGTACTTTTTTTTTTTTTCAGGTATGATCCGAAAGAGAATAAGTGGACACGTGTTGCCTCAATGAGTACCAGACGGTTGGGTGTGGCTGTAGCCGTATTAGGAGGTTTTCTTTACGCAGTGGGCGGCTCAGATGGCACATCCCCACTAAATACAGGTAAATACAGGAAGATGTAGAGGCAAAACTCTGTAACATTGGAGTCAGAACAAAGTGATCAGATATTGCTATGAGTGCAATTAATACTTGATGTGTCTTCTGTACTTCTAAGAATAAATGCAGCTGAGGAAGGTTTTGACAGTTTCATGTTGGCAGTATCAGATGTGATCCAATAAAAGACAATTACTAAGTTTGAACTTGTCAGTTCAGGTAAATGTGTTGTTTAAAGTTGCAGTAGTTGTCTAGACGATACCAGTACCAAATATGATATGAATATAAAATTTCTCATTACCACAGATAAATTGATAAGCTATTGAATACAGTCCCTTTTTAAGTTCAAATAGGATTATAAATATTTATTATTTTCAAGAATTGCTCAAGTAAAAATTGTATAAAAGTTTAAAAAAAAAAATCAAATAATTAAATAAGTAAAATACAAAATTAAATAAAAATAAGTAGCAAATTAATGAATTATGAGAGGTGAGTAGTTTTCCCTTTTTTGTCAATATTGCTCGATTAATATTAACATGGTAATAGACCGGTTCATAAATGACTGTAATTACATTTAAAGGGATAGTTCACCCAAAAATTAATGTCATCATTTACTCACAGACTCAAGCTGTTCCAAACCTGTACACATTTTTTTCTTCTGCTGAACACAAAACAAGAAGATATTTAGAAGAATATGGGTAACCAAACAGTTGGGGAAAAAACACTCAAAGGGTCCCATCAACTGTTTGGTTACCCATATTCTTCTAAATATCTTATTTTATGTTGAATAGAAGAAAGAAATTTGTACAGGTTTGGAACAGCTTGAGTGTGAGTAAATTATGAATTTTCATTTTTGGGTGAACTATCCCTTTAATACCTCTCCAAGTTGCCATTTATGACCATTTTGTTATTTAATTTTTTTTTCGTTTAGTATCAAATTGATAAAGTCCTAGTATTTATGTGCTGCATTTTTTTATACAAAAACTGCTCAAATGTTTGGGTTTAGTATGATTTTTTATTATAAAAGAAATCAATGTGTTTATTCAGCAATAATAAATAAATTGATCAGAGGTGACAGTAATTAATAATGTTACAAAGGGTTTCTATTTTAAATAAACGCTGTTCCTTTGAACTTTCTATTTATCAAAGAATCTTGAAGAGAATTCCACAAAAATATTAAAGAGATTTCAACATTGATGATAATAAAAGATGGCTGCTGAAAATTCAGCTTTACCATCACAGGAATAAATTACATTTTTAAATAACTGTTTTCTAGTTTATTATATTCGAAAATGTAATGTTTCACAAAATTACAGCTTTTATTGTATCAAGTAAATGCAGCCTTGGTGAGCATGAGAGACTTTCAAAAACATTTGAAAAATTGACTGATCCCAAACACTTGAACAGTAGTGCTGATTGCTTAATTTCTGGTATTCTAGAGGAAATGCAGAATGTTTATTAACAGTTATTTTGTTGGCAGTGGAGCGGTATAACCCGCAGGAGAACCGCTGGCATACGGTGGCACCCATGGGGACCCGTCGGAAACACCTGGGCTGTGCCGTGTACCAGGACATGATCTACTCTGTGGGCGGCAGAGACGATACCACAGAACTGAGCAGCGCTGAGCGATACAACCCCAGAACCAATCAGTGGTCCCCTGTGGTCGCCATGACGTCCAGAAGGAGCGGGGTATGTGATTCTTTGATCTCGTTTCAGCCTCTTATAAAAGAATTGGCCAACAAACAAATTCTCTCTTTTGTTCTAGGTTGGTTTAGCAGTAGTAAATGGTCAGTTGATGGCAGTTGGAGGTTTTGATGGTACCACATACCTGAAAACTATTGAAGTCTATGACCCTGATGCCAACACGTGGAGGTAAATATGCACAGCACCGTTCAAAAGTTTGGCGTCAGTAAGATGATTAAAAAATAAAATAAAAAGATTTAACAAGGACGCATTAAATTGATCAAAAGTCATAGTAAAAACTTTTATGTTGTTACAACTTTTTTTTTAAAACTTTCTATTCATCAAAGGATCCTGAAAAAAATGTATCAGCTTTTCATTACAATGATTTCTGAAGGGTCATGTGACACTGACAAATGGAGTAATGGCTGCTGAAAGTTCAGCTTTGCCATCACAGGAATAAAATACATTTTAAAATATATTAAAGTAGCAAACCGTTATTTAAAATTGTAATAATATTTCACAAGATCACTGTTTTACTGTATTTTTGATTAACTAAATGCAGCCTTGGTGAACATAAGAGACATTCAAAAACATGAAGACCCTAAATGTTTGAACCTGAATCACATTATTTGTGATTTGCCAGTCACTAATTGCTTTTTCCCCACTCCCTTAAGGCTCTATGGTGGAATGAACTACAGGAGGTTGGGAGGTGGTGTTGGTGTAATAAAAATGACTCACTGTGAATCACATATATGGTAACAACTACAGTATCCATCTCACAGATGCCTCACCATAGCTCGTTCCTCATAGAGACATTGTGCATCATGCAAGAGGAAATCCTGGTTAAAAACTGAGTATTGTCTCCAGTTACTGAGATGGCAAACCAAAGGTATACCATCTCTGGAAGCTGCTCTGAGGAGACTCACCTGTACGGCCATAGAGCATCACTCCATTTTGTTTTTACATTTGGTTTCTCTTTCGTACTTGAGCATAGCCAAAGGCAACAATTTGAAGAGAGAAGCAGCAGCCGGAAAAGCATCAGTTTGTTTTTATGGATGGAACTAAGCTTCTGTCAGTCTGTTTGACTGCATTGAAGAATTACAGTAACCTGAAACGCATCACTGGGATTGGTGTGAATGATGCTTGTGTTTCTCTGATTGATGTTCTGGTCTGAATTGGATGCACTGTGATTTCTTTAGCTTTCGTTTTTTTTATGAGTTGTACACTGAGCATTATCTGTTCCTGCATTCTTACCAGATGTAAGCAGATTAGTTGATCTTTTGTTTAAATCCTTGGTGTACTGAAAATGCAGTTCCTCCCTGAAACATTGCAATCTAATGAAGGCTGTTGCAGAAGAAAAGAAGTTATTTTTGAAGCAGTCAAAAACAGGTTTGACGTATTATCAATTTGTTTACTTTTATACAACTGAATGCATCAATGAATCAGTCCATGCACTTTAATCCACTAAGATTTTTTCTATTGACGTCTGTATTTTTTTTTCTTTAAAATATAGTTGGATGTATTGCAGGGTTCCTCAAATCCAACCCTAGAGGGCCAGTCATGCAGAGTTTAGATCAAACCATGATCGAACTCGCCTACCTGCAATTTTCTAGTAACTCTGAAGACCTTGAGTAGCTTGTTCAGGTGTGTTTGATTAGAATTGGAACTCAACTCTGCAGGGCAGTGGCTCTCCAGGAACGGATTTGAAGAACCCTGATGTATTGTTTTATGCAAGTTTGAGGACTAAGGTAAAAAAAAGTTTCTGAAATTTCAGAACAAACAGGTTTCTAGTTTTAGCAGCCTGCACGTATGGTCAGAAACGTAATGTTAAACTTGTTACTGAATATGAGATGAATCTCTGAAATGTACAACTGCCCTTTCATTTTTTTTTTTATGAACACTCGTTTTCCCACAGGACACTAATGCGTTCTATTTTGGTGTTGAAATACGGTTACATAAAGTATATCTTCCATGGTCTTACCTTATTTAATTTTAAAGATGTTCAACTGTCTATACATTTCAAAACTTTAAAAGTTGAAATAAAACAGGAAAGAAAATATTAAAATGCTTTTAGTCAATTCTGAAATTGTGTTGACAAGTGATCAACCTATTTAATGAGGTTTAGATCAGTGGTTCTCAACCTTATTGACTCTGACGTACCTCATTGTATTTGGAGCCCCCCTCCTAAATATTTTCTCTGGTACTTTTACTGTAATGATGACCAAGCTGCATGTTTTAAAACATTTTTATTTCTGAAACTAGGAGTGACAAATTAATTTTATTAAAAACATTATTAAAAAAATCAATATGTTAATCTGTTTACAGGTTAGACATTTAACATGTTTATAGTGGTTTTTAAATTATTAGCCTAAATTATTTGAAGTTAACTTTAGGTTGAGAACTACTGGTTTAGATTTTTCAAATCTAGATTAGTAAAACATGTTCATTTAAACCAAAAATGTGTTTTTCCTCATACAAATTGGGGATTTGTTGAAATATAAAATAAAATAAAAACTCAACTTTAGATCTGTGCTTTATTGTAAGACAAAAGGTTGCCCAATTCAAAAACATTGTTATGCACATCCTAGGTCATTTTCTGATGTAAATGTTTAAATGAAGGATGTGTCTTGAGTGCAGATGAATCAAAGTAATATCCAACAAAAAACTTAACTATCCTTCCAACAAAAAAATCTGCTTGCAAGTTCTACCTACATACTTTGTAAAACATTATACATTTCGACTGTTAGATGCTGACATTGTTGGCACTAAAAACAACACTTAAGATCATTTCTGAAGCCATGAACCCTGTCAAAACAAACATCCAAAAATCAAGCCAGCTGCAACTCATTACACAAAGATGACAACTGTTCCTAAGTGATTTACATACTTTTAAGGGTACAAAATGTTTGTATTTAATATCAACATATGTTACAATATACTAATTACAGATATTAACATATTTGTGTTATAACTATTTATAAGCACCTATACATATAGTAGTGATACATTTACAAAGTTGACAATCAAATTTATTTATGATAAATGAGTTATATCGCATTAATATTAGCCTTATGGACTGATATACATGTTATTTGTCTTGATAAACAGTCTTAGGAAAGAAAACCGGGATTCAAAAGCAGAATAAAAACAAGTTCAATTTTAAAAGCTGGAAAACAGACAGACATTTTACAGCACAAAAAAATAAATATGAGACGATAAGCCTTAAAAGATATAAAAGTTTAGATGTCATGGAAAAAAAAAACCCAGCAACAAAAATATATTTACAAATCTAAAATAGAAAGATTTTAGGTTAGCATTTTCAGAAGGGCACATTCTGTCAGGAGGGTAAGCAAGGTGGTGATGTAGTCACTGTTTCCGATCTAAAAAAAGAGAAAAATAGTTTTTAAAAAATCATAACATACTGTAAAGATATAACTCAAATATACAATGTACAGATAGGACACATAGCAATCACCTTGATTTTCCCATCAAGCTGTGCTGATCCCAGAGCGGTAGATACTTTTACAAGCGTACCAGCAGACAGGTAGATCTTGAAGTGTCTGAAAAAATGAGTCTCCAGCCCGTTCATGAAAGACTGGACCTCTTTAATATCGATCCGGTCATCTGTACTCTCCTCTGGATGAATACTGTTCCACAGCTCCCATGCATCCTGTGGATTCACCGTGTATGAGACATCCAGGGGTGGCTGTGTCGGAAGGCTCCAGGCCAGTTTCAGATACCTGATATTGCAGGTGGGATGGCAACCGGTCCACAAAGCAGCAAGCCAATTGAGAGTGGTGGAGTTTAAAGCCAAAGAACCAAAGTTGCAATCAAAAGCCCTCTCGAACCAGGATTTAACCAGGGTCGTAAGAGACTCCGGTCCACTCGTGCAAAACAAAGGCAAGCTGACAAAATCTGGAGGCAGCGACCTCAGGTACTCTGGATCCCCATTGACGCATGTGAGCCAACCGCGCCAGACAACTTTCGGTGCATCTGCTGCTGCGGCAAACACCGGTTTGGATTGGATCTGAGGGGAATAAGAGAAAAACAGCATGAATGCGGTATATTCATACACTATTGTTTAAGAGTTTGTGGTTGGTGAGGTTTTAACGTTGTGAAAGAAGTCTCATATTCATAAAGGATGCATGTATTTGATAAATACAGTAAACAGTAATATTGTGAATTACACGTTTTCTAAAAATGTAATTTATTCCCGTGGCCGTGATGTTAAAGATGCATTTTCAGCAGTCATTATATGCTGATTTGGTGTTCAAGAATTTTTTATTATTATCATTAATGTTGAAAATGGTTTTGCTGCTTTTTTTATGGAAACCATAATTCACCTACCCTCCAGGATTCTTTGATGAATAGGAAGTTCCAAATAATGCCATTTATTTAAAATTGAACTCTTTTATAACAGTAAAAATATCTTTACTGTCAATTTAAGAATTAAAGGGATAGTTCACCCAAAAATTCTGTCATCATTTACTCACCCTCAGGTTTTTCCAAACCGGTTTACATTTCTATGTTCTGGTGAACGCAAAAGAAGATATTTTGAAGAATGTGGGAAACAGTTCTGGGGCACCATTGACTTCCATAGTGTTTTTTTCCTACTATGGAAGTCATTGGTGCACCAAAGCAGCCTGGTTACAAACTTTCTTCAAAATATCTTCCTTTGTGTTCAGCAGAACAAAGAAATTGATACAGGTTTGGAACAACTTAAGGGTGAGTAAATGATGACAGAATGTTCATTTTTGGGTGAACTATCCCTTTAATTTCTTAAAAACAATAACAAAATCTTAGCCTGTTAGACTTACCTGAATAAAAACAGTTTCAGCATCCTCATCTGTCTCAGCCAGTCCAAGAACTGCAGTAAATGTGACCTTGAATCCCGCCTCTAACCCGACTTCAACTGCAACTCCTTGCTGTTTCTCTGCTACGATGAAGGCTGAGAGATGCTTGGAATATGATTTCAGCTGTGTATGTCTGAAGCAATGCAAAGGAGTGACATAGGACAGCTTCCACTCATTTTTCACCAAAAGAGCAATATGCTCAGGGTCAACCTTATTCTGTAGAAAGAATAAATGTATTTGTCACTCAAGCTACTCTATGTCAGAAACAGCATTTTGAGATGGAGTCATTTCCATGGTCTCTTACAGTGATTAGTTGTGATTTGGCAGCCCCTCTACTGGTTGGGATCTTCAAGACTGTTAAATGTCCTGGTGTTTGCCAGAAATATGAGGGTGCTTCCACACAGCTCCGGCCATAACTTTTGCTTCTACGAGTTACAGGTCTGCTGGCAGGTGTACCGACGGCACTGCATGGGTAAAAGAAGCAACAGAGATGGGTTATTAACACTGACTATACTACTAATGGGACATACAAAGTTCAATCCCTTCAGTGTTATTTAAAAAAAATGTTAATGGACTGGTTTCACAAACAGGGCTTAGATTAAGCCAGGATTAGTTAGGACCTTATTAGTTCAGTTAAGTGGTCTGTTCTCACGCGTCAAGCAGGGGTGCGTTTCCCGAAAGCATCGTTAGCCAACTATGGTCGCAAGTTCCGTCGTTACCAATAGAGTTCAATGGAAATTGCGATCATAGTTGGATAACGATGCTTTCGGGAAACGCACTCCAGGTTAGGTAAAGATTTTGTTTCAATGTTCGCTGATCAGTGTTTATATGTGAACAAAAGCATAAATTCAATTCGTTCATCATGATATAGTGACCGAGTCTTTTCAGAGAATTTCGACTACATCACTCAATTTATATGTATTGGAGATCGTACTATTTATGATTTTTTGAAGCGTCAACGTGTCAGTTGCGTAACTTACGTTAGCTGTCTATGAACATGGACAGAAAAGTCTCAAGATTTCATTAAAAAGATCTTGATTTGTGTTCCGAAGATGAACGAAAGTCTTACGGGTTTGGAACGGCATGATTGAGGGCGAGTAATTAATGACATCATTTTCATTTATCTTTTAACTCTTTAAGTAGCTTTAATAAACGTGTATTAGAAAATAAACATTTAACGTTACTGGTGTGCTGCGCATCTTAAGACAAAATAATGGCACTAACATACTTTAAGATATGTCAGTGCAAGTTGCTTTCGGTTAAAACAGTTCAAACATGCACTTAAGTCTGGGACTAGGCTTAAGCCTAGTTTGAAACCGGGGATATATGTCGTAACTATACGTATAAAATATAGCCTACTTAAAATGTCATTTTGAGGTTTAAAGCATTTAATCAAACTCAACTTGATTAGAAAACAAAAGACAATCGCGACTATTAGCATTTCGCTTCCACCACTAACTAGCTACATGATCGATTTTCATCGTTTAAGTTAAACGCTTATATGTGTTGATTTTAAAAAAAAATATTCTGCGGGGCAAAATTCACTTTTAAGACGAGCTAAAAGCTAGAATCCTGTACCTGCCTCTCCCCTCCATGATGAACAAAAACACACCGAGCCAAAAAAATCAGGAAGAGGATTTGAAACATCCCGCTTTCCCATCGTGCAACGGGGCGGCGCAGGAACACTAATCGACTGCTGATAGCAAGGACAAAGGTGTATCATATATTTCTACATTTAGTTTACTTTAAACCATATTTACCTAGATCAATAATGGGCGGTCACCAATGTAGAAGCATGGCCAATAAATGTAATATAACTTACTAGTTGCCATGTTACAATCGATTATATCTAGTTTGATTAGTCGTGTCAAAGTATTCATCCATGCGCCTGGCTCAATGTAGCACACGGATCCACTTCGCAACTTTCATGATTCAGAATGTCATTGAAAATCCAACCCGATTAAGATTTATTTTGATGAACTTATTGTCATATGTATTTATAGATTGACGTATGTACAATATTAACGAAAGGAAAGAACAACAAAGGTGACCGTCAGTGTTACATTACCTGCAATAATGTAACTGGATTTATGTAACTACAACCGCGTACACAAAGAAGACATGTACAAAACATGTACACAGTCAAGTGGAATATCAGCTCTGAAATGTATATTTTCAAAGAGATTATTGGTTAAATGTAGCCAAAGACACCAAGACCTCTCATACCGGACAATGGCAAACAAATACAGATTATTTTTTCTTAGATCATCCCAGCAGGTGTTGAGGTGTGTGTACAGCACGAGATCAGTACCTTCCATAAATCAAATTTACTCCACAAAACCATCTCTTCCTCCAAACTCTTTGGCATGGGCTTATGAATTCTCCAGAACCTGCTCTACTTACACTTCAGGTAATGTGACCTTGAACAAGACTTTGTATTTGTTATTGCCTTTTTTAAAATCTATTTTCTTCTTCTCCTTGTAGGTCAAAGCAGTTTTTCACAGAGAAGCCACACATGTGGAGAACTGTGCTCCAGTCATATAGATGAAGAAGTTACTTTATGTGGCTGGATTCAATACTTGAGGTTTGTATGGACGATCGTTTCCATCACAGAATAGAAAAAAAGTAGTTGCGATGTTTTATCTAAACTTCTGACTTTTTTGTCACAATTGCTCAATTTTATAGCTCAATTCAGACATTTTTTGTTCACAATTTTTGGAAAAAATGTCACAATTGTGAGATAGAAAGTCTCAATTACCATTTAATAACAATTTACCATTTTGTTGTTCTGCGGCAGAAACAATCTTCCATAGGTTTGAGACACAATGCTTAGTCTTTTCGATTGTCACTGGGCTACATCACTATAACACATTCTCTGTTATTGACTCATTAGGCAAGATCTTTTTGTGATCTTGAGAGACTTCAGTGGATTGGTGCAAATTCTTATCCCACAGGATGAGGTAGCAAACCAATTCTCTTTCTTGTTTTGTGTTTTATAAACTAATTCTGATGCTGCCCACATGTTGGTTTATTTGTTGGTGTTTTCACCATAACATTTTTCTTTTGACACTTTAATTTTTTTAGTCTAAATCTGAACTGAAGAATGCTTTTCTTGGCCTCACGGTGGAGTCGGTCATCATGGTCAAAGGACGGGTCAGGCGTAGACCAGAGGGACAGGAGAATAAGGTTGTTATGCCTGTTCAATTGCACATAAAGAGAAAAGTCTGACACTGTACTGTTCAGTGTGAAATGTGTGTAAAATTCTCCTTTTTATTCAATATTAGACCATGTCCACTGGAGACATTGAGGTCTGTGCTGAGAGCATGAAAGTGCTGAATACCTGCAGAAAGCTGCCGTTTGAGATTAAAGAATTTGTCAAAGTAAGTAAATATGATTAAACAAAGTGTTGCATGCATTACTTTTTGAATTCTATTTTTGCCTGCAATATTTCTAAGGTGAATCTCACAAAGAACAACATATCAATCAGAAGGAAAAATGATGTACATCACCATTAAAAAATGTTGGTTCCTTCAAAAACAATATTTTAATGTTTTTGAAAGAAGGCTCTTATGCTTACCTATTCTTCATTTATTTGATCAAAAACACAGTAAAAACAGTAATGTTGTGGATTATTATTACAATTTACAATAACTGTTTTCTATTTTAATATATTTTAAAATGTAAGTTATTCCTGAGCTGAATGTTCAGCAGCCATTCTTCCAGTCTCCAGTGTCACATGATCCTTCAGAAATCATTCTAATATGCTGATTTGGTTCTCAAGAAACATTTCTTTCTATTGTCACTGTTAAAAACAGTTATGCTGCTTTATATTTTTGTAGAAACCGTGATAGATTTTTTTCAGTTTTTTTTTATAACAATATCAAAAAAAGATTTTATCCATTAATGCATCCTTGCTGAATACAATTATTAATTTCTTTTTTAAATCTTACTGACCCCAAATGGTAGTGTATGTTTTGCAGGAAAAAAAATCATATTCAATCAAAAATATTTGTTTTAGGATTTTTTGTTGTTGTCATTTTTATAACCATTAAACAAATGTATATTGTAATACAGTAATTGTGTCTTGTCTGGAGACAGTGTTTTAATTTGTATTGCTATTATTAATAAAATTAGTGTTAATTAAAGGCAAGACAAGACCTATAATGCAATACAATCTAATTTGGCCTAAAATATGCTTTAAAATCTTTAGCATTTTTTTGTTTCTATTCTGGGTTTAGCTAAGGCTTCAGCCTACACCTTTTTCAGTTATTACGTATATTTTCGTCATTTATCATGAAAAGTTGTCTATGAGGACCAACAATTATTTTTTGTTGAATTGGAAAAATTTAATTAAATATGGCCCTGAATCGTTTCTTGACAGTGTTTGATAGTGTTTGATAGTCACTCTCTGTCATTTTCTGTGGAATAGCCAATGCATTTAATTCTAGATGGATGTTATTTTTATTATATGAGGTTTATTGACTGTTTGTGATCCATACAAAAATTGTTGTCCAAGTAGCATAAAAAAAATCAATTGATACATTTCATCTTAATTCTTTTTTTGTTTGCCTTGAAGAAATCCGAATCCCTCAGGATGCAGTATCGTTATCTTGATCTTCGGTCAACCGGGATGCAGTACAATTTAAGACTGAGATCACAAATGGTGATGAAAATGAGGGAGTACCTTTGCAATTTGCATGGTGAGGATTAACAGTGGAATTTTCAAACTTGTGCATACAGTACATTTGCTTAGTTAATATACCCCAATACTCACTGAGCATTACCTGTCTTTTCCTAAGGATTTGTGGATGTGGAAACACCAACGTTGTTTAAAAGAACACCTGGGGTAGGTATTTTTTACGGTATGAATCAGTTTCATTCGTATAACCAAAACCAAAGACTTTAGATATACAAAGATATATAGTGGGATAAGTCCCATCCTAAGCTGCTGTTAGAAGTTTCGGTAGAGAAACAGTCAGTGTTCTGAGACTGCTAAGGACTGCACATGCGCATTGCCTAGCATGAAAAATAAGCTTTTTTTCAATGCTATTTGAGCAACATTTATGTGACAATCCATGTAAGATGTTGTTTCTGATTTGAAATATGTTATTTAAATGTGGCAGTTTTTGAGATTTCAGGATTCCCCCATTCAAATAGATAGGATGCCTGAAATAGCTGCCCAGAGGCATTGCAAATATGGCTGCCAAGTGAACAGACTTTCCTTGAAAGAGACTTTGCCAAAACTTAAGACCATTTGCTAATTCAAATACACAGTATTTTGTATTTCATAGGAATCTATGCTGTGCTACTCGGCACATTGTTTCAGTATGGAAATGTTCAGAAAATTATACATTCAAGTTACAACAGCTGTGCTTGTAATTCAGATGTACTCCAAGTGATTTCAGGAATTAAAAAACGTGGCCATGAGCACTAAGAATCTAAGTGTGTTTATTTATTTATTAACTTCCAACATTGTAAATTGCACTCATAAAACAAATATAATACTTACTGAGCTAAATCCAAAAAATGAAAGAGAGAGTATTATGCAAAATGTAGCTCGACATACTAAGCATAAAAACATTTGTAATTGCAGAAACGTTTCATTCATGAGAACTTATTTTACAATGCTTCTATGGTGACTCATGCTTCTGTTTCTTGTTTCCTGCAAGACACCCCTGTAAGGCTTGCCCAAACAACAAACTACAGCTGGTGCAAAATATTGCCAGATCATTACCCGAAATTTTGTGAGCAATCACATCACTCTGGCTTCCTCCCTCGGGCTTTGTTGTGCTAAGAACTTGTACATCTGTTTCAAAGTTTTATAACTTTGAAAGCTTTGACACATATATATGATCGTTTGAATACTACCCACTTTATCTGGTGTTACTGGAAACTTTAGGTTGTAGAATAAATTAATCATGGCTGAGTGAGAATAGTGAGTGAATTTATACAATGGCATCGGTACTAAAAGCATTTTTTTCTTCTTCTTTTTTTACTTTCATGCATAATGTGTAACATGATCGACACTTAAAAACGATTGCATATTCCAACATTGAGATATGCATAACTACAGTGTTTTTTTTCCCTGTACTGTTGTCACTTTCATTTCAGTGCATCACAAGAAAGCTTTCAGTTGAGGAAAAGTCTAATTTGCGAAATGAAACAACAGGGAGTTGTTTTGCAGTTGCTGCAAGGTGTCTTTAGGGGGCAGATGATCATCTAGAATGTTAGAATGTCTGCTAAATGGCTTAAATATTAAATATGAATACGGTTTTAGGTGATGAATAACAATATATCTTACCTGTAGGAGAACTGTCTATATACAGAACCATCTATGTATAAATAGATAGATAGATAGATAGATAGATAGATAGATAGATAGATAGATAGATAGATAGATAGATAGATAGATAGATAGATAGATAGATTCATTTAGAAACTAGGCCTTTTAAATCCATTTTTTTAAGTCAGATTAGCGCCATCTGTTGAGAAAATAAAATAAAACATGTAATTTCATGGTGTAACCACTAGATGCCTGTGTAGCTCTATATGGAGAGGCTTGTGAATTCTAGTAGTTTTTGGAAACAATTACTTACTTTTAAGATGTGGATTTGAATTTGAGAAATTCTCAAATAATACTTTTTGTCAAGGTTTATACATTTTTTAAAAATAATTTTTATACAGAGAAAGCATTTTGTTACACGTAACATTAAAATTCAATAAAAAATTTACAAAAATAAACAGGAATGCTTTATCACAGCTTAATCCATCTGGATCTAATCTCATTTCAACCTCTTATTCCAGTCTTCTGACTCAATTATGCGGCATGGTAATAGCCCTACCAGTTAATTTGTGTTTATAATTGTGTATGTGTGTGTGTGTGTGTGTGAGTGGGTGGGTCTGTTTTGCACTATTGATGTTTTAGAGTTTCACCCCTTCATTGCTGAGCACTTTTTTTTCTGCATCGTGGCCGATTTGTAGAGAATTTTTTTTAAATGTGACTATTTTTTTCCGACCAATTTTTGTGTGTGTTCACGTTCCAAATGCCATAAAAGTCACCAAGTTTCGTACCATTCTGATGAAGCTGTGATTTTTAAAATTTCAAAACAGAACATTTTCGATCACAATTCATTGGTGTGTGTGTGTGTGTGTGTGTGTGTGTGTGTGTGTGTGTGTGTGTGTGTGTGTGTGTGTGTGTGTGTGTGTGTGTGTTTTTGTGTGTTTTTGTGTGTGTGAGTGGGTGTGTCTGTTTTGCACTCTTGATATTTTAGAGTTTCACCCATTCATTGCTGAGCACGTTGCCGATTTGTAGATTGTACACACACATTTTTTGTGTTTTTGTCGATTTCCCACTCATTTCCAATGGTCGGTAATTTTTGACCGAAGAGCACAAGTGTGACAATTTTTTTTTTACGACCACTTAGGCTGCTCGAATCATGCCCTCAATTTTTTTTTGTTCACATTGCAAATGCCATAAAAGTCACCAAATTTCGGACCATTCCGATGAAGCTGTGATTTTTAGAAATTCAAAACAAAAAATGTTCCGGTCAGAAATGACCAAAGAGCACCTTAAAACTCTTTTAAAAATATTTTTCCATGCTTTTCTCACCTCGTGCTACATCATTTTTGCTTCTCTCTTTTATATTTCATAATGTGACTTTCATTTATCAGATTGGCTTGGGATATTCTGGCTGATTTAGTTCTGTCAGAGGCAGGAATACACACTGTTCAAGTGTAACTGTGTTTTTCAGGGTGCCAAAGAGTTTGTGGTGCCATCTGGAGACCCTGGGAAGTTCTACTCTCTTCCTCAAAGCCCACAGCAGTTCAAACAGCTTCTTATGGTGGCTGGCATAGACCGGTGAAAATCATATTTTATATTACATTTTCTTGCCTTTTTCGAATTCCTTTATATCCATAGATTGTTGTCAGATGCTTGGCACATTCACTTAACTCTGCTTTCACTGAATGACAGCCCCTTGAAAACAACTTTTGGCCAACATACTCTTGGAATCAGATGGTATTGTTCGTAGCTTTTAGCAGCTCTGGAATTTGCAGAACTGCATTTGTTCCAATGCTGTATGAAATGCCAAAACTGTGACATGTATGCGGCATGTACAGTGTGATATGCTTTAGAATGCTGCTTTAGATTCTTGCTGTTTTTTGAAGATTTTTGTCTAATTTGAAATTCGAAGGCAAGAATTGTGAGGTGGTATTAGCACATCAGTCACTGAGAGGGTGCTGCTGCTGACATGTTTAGCTTTGTTGTCAATGGTTGTGTATTAAAGGGGTCTAGGGCACATGTGAGTAGTTGACAAGGGCACATTCAATTTAAACTGAAATGACGCTTCGCAGTCCAGCTAGTTAAACTCTAAATAAAATGTTGGATCCCAACAAGTGTACTAAAATATGTAAACTGTTGTAAGGAGCATAAGAAGAATGTTTGATCATCTAAAAAAATACACAGTGATTATTAAAATTCTGTCTGATATAAGCAATACTTTTTTCTAAATGAATGAAAAGATAAAGCACTGAATATTAAAATCAATAAGTTTATCAATATATTGCTACAATATATTTACTAGAGATATGATAAAAAGTATTTATATATAAATAAAATTATTATTGTTTTTTTATAGTTTATATTTTTTTATATAAAATTTCAATAAATAAAGATGGTGAGATGATGGCAAATGTAATTTGAATGTAAATTCATCGTTTGTGATTTCTCCTTTTATTTGAATTTTTTTTTTTATAATTATACACTACTATTATAAGTTTAATTTGATCAAAAGAGACTGAACAATGTTACAGAAAGTTACTTTTATAAGAAATGTTTTCTCATCTGGGCTGGGCTTGCTTTCAAAAAAATTGATTCTATTGAAAATATAATTTTTTTGCAAATGTATCAGCCTAAAGGCCCCAATATATACACAGCAAAGTTCTTTTTCTTTCTTAAGTTGTATCATTCAAATGTATCATGGTTTACAACATTTTCTAACATTGACAATAATAAATGTTAATATTATAATTTAATGTTAATCAGCATATTAGAATGATTTCTGAAGGCTCGTCATGTGACACTAAAGACTGGAAGAATGGCTGCTGAAAATTCAGCTTTCCATCACAGGAATAAATTACATTTAGCAATATACTGAAATAAATAAAAAAACTGTTATTTTAATTTGTAATAATATATCATAATATTACTTGTTTTATTGTATTTTCGGTCAAATAAATTAGCTGTGGAGAGCATAAGAGACTTAAATCTTACCAACCCCAAACATTTGAATGGTAGTGTAAATTATTTATGAATTTATTATAAATATAAAAAAAATTCTGAGTACACCTTTTAAATACTTCAAAAGTTTTTCGTGAAATAAAGTTGGAGTGAAATCAGGCGAACAAAAGTTTGAGAGAGGGTGGCAACCACCCAGAACACACTAGCATTGTGTTAACATTTTTATACAGGCAAGCAACTCTGTCATTGTCAATTCAGAAAATGCAAAAGTCTAGTTTCTATTAGATTTTGAAAAATGATAATGACCACAATAGACCTATTTTCATTTCAATTTTGGCAGCACGTCTCTTTGAATTAATAGTTGCGCTAAGCCAGGACTGCAGGCTAGTTCTATGGAAAGTCTGTCAAAGGAAAATGATATGCTATGCATGATTTAAAAATGTCAGTCAATATTTGGCCCACAGTCACTTACGTGCTGGTTATCTCCTGCAATCTCAGGTACTTTCAGCTCGCTCGCTGCTACAGAGACGAGGGCTCCAAGCCTGACAGACAGCCTGAATTCACACAGGTAATGATGTGCTAAAGGTTGGGAGGAAACATGCAGCAGATGTAGATGAATATTGAGTGTTTAAATGACGTGACTTGCTCTAACTCGCATTCATGAGGGTTAGAGCTGCTAATAAGCTTTACAGGATTCTCACTCAGACTAAAAATCATAAACCCCAAAAGACCATTTTGGTTTTGTTCAGACAGGCAGCAAAAATCCGATTTTTTTTTTTTTTTTTTTTTTGCATTCAAGTCAAATCCGATTAGTTGTTGATGATCTGAATTGCAAAAAAAAAAACCCAAAAAACCACACATACATGTCTTAAACCCAATTCAAACTGCATTCAAAAGTAAAATCAGGTTTTATTCACTGTCTGAGCAAAATTATTAGATTTGAAAAACAAATCAGATTCGTTTGCAGTGTGAACAAAGCATTGTGGCTTATTTCTCTCTTCTGTGTTGACACATCTCTTAGGTGGATATTGAGATATCCTTTGTAGACCAGGCTGGAGTCATGAGTTTGATTGAAGGCTTGGTCCAGTACTCCTGGCCAGAGGACAAAGGACAGATTAATGTTCCCTTTCCCTCCATGACTTATGAGGAAGCCATGAGAGACTACGGAGTTGACAAACCAGACACTAGATTTGGGATGAAGGTGACCGCACTTTCTTCCTTTGTACACATCATCCTAGATTGGACGTAAGACATCAATGAGGTTGTTTGCATGCTGGCCGTCCTTGGCGTCACGCTGTGCTGGCATCCTGTTTCCCCACACATCACAGATTTTCACGCGGTGCTCAACAATTAAAAATGAATCTCTCATGATACGTTCTCTTTTACCGTTGTGCGTCCTGAATGCATTCAGTTCTGCTCGTAGATTTAGAGCCCTTTGCTGAATCTGTGATGTTTTAGCATTTAGAAAAATAAGAGATGAATATTAAATACACTACTGTTAAAAAGTTTGGGGTCAGTAATTTTTTTAAAAGAAATGAATACTTTACTTTTTTCCTAAGAAACATAGTATCACAGTTTTCATGTAGATTTTAAACAACTCAACAGTTTTCGTTTTTTACACACATACAGTAATGGCTGCTGAAAATTCAGCTTTACCATCTTATAATTAAATTACATTTTAAAATATATTAAAATAGAAAACAGTTATATTAATAGTAATAATATTGTACATTATTACTGTTTTTCTGTATTTTTGATCATATAAATGCAGCCTTGGTGAGCATTAGACTTCTTTCACTTTTGATGGTAGTGTATGTATTTTAACTACATTTTCTGTTATATTTTTACTTTTCTATTTGTTTGTTTAGATTTTTAAAATACATCTCTTTATTTCATAAGATATTATTAAAGTACTAAATTTACATTTAAAGTACATTTAAAATGTTAAAGTTAATTTGCACAAATTTTCTTGTTAATACATTCACTTTGTGTATTGCTTTCTTAAAGGGATACTCCACCCAAAAATGAAAATTCTTTCATCATTTACTCACCCTCAAGTTGTTGCAAACCTGTATGAGTTTCTTTCTTTTGCTGAACACAAAGGAAGATATTTTGAAGAAACGATTGGAACCAAACAGTTGTTTGGCACCATTGACTTCCATAATAGAAAAAAAAAATACTATGGAAGTCAATGGTGCCAAAGTTCCAATCGTTCTTCAAAATATCTTCCTTTGTGTTCATCAGAAGAAAGAAACTCATACAGGTTTGCAACAGCTTGAGGGTGAGTAAATGATGACAGAATTTTCATTTTTGGGTGGAGTATCCCTTTAAGGCTGATTTAATAGTTGTGGCCTGTGTGGCAAAACTTAGTTAATTCTGATGTGTTTTCTTGTATTCAGCTTGTGGATGTCACCACAGCATTCCAGGGAACGCAAATCGAGTTCATCAAAGATGCACTTCTTGAACCTGGTGGCTGCATTCAGGCTATCTGTGTCCCAGAAGGAATGGTAAGTATAGAATCCGGAGATTCTGTTGCTGATGCCCCGGCACTGAATCAACACCATTGAATCTACAGCACAATCTAGTCTGATTTCCAAACAAAATAATCTTTTGAGTTGGTTTATTTCAGTGATTCAAAACTGACAGTGCAATTAGTGTAGCCTGGTTTACGAACAAACAATTATTATCATAGGCATACTATAGTGATTCAGGTTAAGACAAAAACACGGGTTGGAAGATGGATTCATGATGTACTCACTCATTATAATTTTTGTAAATTCCTTAGAACTCTCATTCCTTGTCATCGTGAAGGCAGCAAACCAGAAATGTGTTCCTTTTAACTCGTATTATACTGGAAATCAATGAACATAATCATTAATATAAATCACATTATTGTATTTAATCACTTATAAGATGACATTCTTTAAAAAGTTGTTACCGAATGTGTTGAGGTTCACAATTTCTGCCATTCATATTTCTATGAGAGGTCGATCTCTATACTGTCTCTGGAACAGGTGAAGCTAACTGTGTGTGACATTTCATCCACAGAAACACCTGAAGGGCAAAGACTTCGAGTTCCTCAAACAAGCAGCCAAGGCACAGTATGGTCAGGTGAGTTTTGTGTCTGCTGATGGAACGCTACCAGCATTCAGTGTGTGCACATCATGGGAAGTCTCCTGAAATATTTATCTGAAAGTAATCAATAAGTCAGGATGATTTGGTGGTAAAACAGTCAAATGTAACACACTGCATACTTACCCCGAGGCAAGGATTGACCTCACTAGAGGGTCATGTGTTGAACGTGTGTTGTAGGCGGCCGTCCATGGAGTCTTATAAAAGGAATGTTAGATGTATTTTTTTCCTCTACCCCATACGTAGTACATTCACAATTTTTAGCTTGTAATGATTTATATAATATAAAATAGTTTGATCAAATTTTCATGTTAATTCATGTTATGCTTTGTACTGAGATAAAAAATAATACTAATTTGCATTTTGTCTCAGTCTGCTCTTGTTAGTGATGATGCTAAGGCAAGAATCTCTATTGCTCATCTCCTATGAGCCATTTCAAGTGGATACGAAACATATCACACAACCAGTGTAGCCTAACCTATTCCCAAAGAACTGACTATTATGATTTGTTTCTTTTTTGTGAATTCAAAACCATAAAACGTGATCAGTTTAGTTCAAATGAAACCCAGATGATTGACCCTCATGAGTCAACCTCATGATGCCATTTTTTTTGTAGTGGATAAAAAACGTTTAGCACAACCAGTGTAGTCCGACTCCCAAACGACTGACTCTTATGAGTTTGATCTTTTTAGTGAATCAAAACCATACAGAACAACCAGTGTAGTTGACTGATTACCTGGATGAATGACTAGTAAATCAAACAACTTACAAGCTGCAAAATGCAACTTACTGTGTAATATACTTAAGACTTGTGAGACTTAAATCAGTGTAGTTTTGCCAGTAGTATCTTATAAAAAAAATTGTTGATAAAATATGTTGCCATATTTTTTGTTTGTTCAGTATTATTTAACATGAATATAGTAATATAGGACATTTAATTTAAAGGGTTAGTTCACCCAAAATTGTAAACTGATCAACTTTTACTCACTCTCATGTCGTTCCAAAACCATAAGCCTTTTGTTCATCTTCAAAACAGAATTGAAGATATTTGAATGAAATCTGAGAGCTTTCTGTCCCTCCGTTGACAGCTACGCAACTACCACTTTGACTTTATAAAAGTTCCTAAAGAGATCGTAAAACTAATCCATATGAATCAAGCGGTTTAGTCCAAATTTTCTGAAGAGACACTATCGCTTTATATGATGAACAGATTGAATTTAGGTTTTTATTCACATATAAACACTCATCATCAAACATAAACAGAAGCTCAAACATGCTGCGTAACACTCGAGAATGAACCTCATTGGTTCTCGCACTTCAGCTTCCGTTTACCATAACTGATGTGACATGACATGACTTGAAGGCCAAGTATGGTAACCCATACTTGGAATTTGTCCTCTGCATTTAACCCAGTGAGTAGTGAACACACACACCACACTGCAAACCGCGGACACACACCCGGAGAAGTGGGCAGCCATTTGCTTGAGAATCGAACCCGCAACCTTCGGGTTACCAGTCTGACACTGTCTGACTCGGTCTGTGCATTTATCAATGTTATATGTGAATAAAAGCCTAAATTCAATCTGTTCAGCAGAGAAAGCAATCGTGTCTCTTAAGAAAATTTGGACTGAACCACTCATTTAATATGGATGCATTTTACAATTTCTTTATGATCAAAGTGGTAGATGCGTAGCTGTCAATGAAGGGACAGAAATCTCTCAAATTTCATTGAAATTTCATATCTTCATTTGTATTCTAAAGATGAACGAATTTCTTACGGGTTTTGAACGACATGAGGGTGAGTAAATGACAGATTTTTTATTTTTGGGTGAACTAACCCTTTAAAATCCTTCCTAGAAAAATACATCTTGATCATATTTTTTTACTGAATAAACTTAAATGTAATTCCTGTCAAAAGGGGAACGTTGTGTTAATAATAGTCTCTTATAAAAGTCAAGAGTAATGATCAGGGGCATAACTTTTGAATGTTTAATGTGGACACCACTTCGGGTGACTCAAGTTAGATTTCTGGCTCATTTTACTTTATGATGCCGTACTTCTCTCTCACACTTTGCTTCCTGTCAAGTCTCTACTATCCAATAAAATAAAGGCAACTTACCAAAAATAAATAATAAAACAAGAAAAACGTTATTTAATACTTATGATAGCTAACTGTTCTGCTTAGTTTTCCCACTGAAAACACTTTATATATTCTTCTGTCTGTATGTATAAATAGAAAGTGAACTTTAAGCTAGTGTGCTTGGCTTGAACTAAATGGCATCGTCAAAGGTGATTGTCCATTGCTATCCTTTTTAGTTCAGCTCTTGGCTTGGTTTGTGTCTGGGAAACCAGCCCGCAGAGTTCTCGAGACTGATGATTGCTCAAGAGTTTGTGCCCTATGCTGTCAATGGCAATTGAATATGGGCCGGTGGAGGAAATGGATGATCATTGCTGTGCTTGCGCCGTGTGTCGTACAGGAGGTGAGCGTGGCTCCAGTAAGGGCAGATGGTTCACTGAAATCCCCTCTCAGCCGGCTGCTCTCGGACACGGCCAAACAGCAGCTGCTCCAGATGGCCCAGGCCAATGCTGGAGACCTGATCTTCATCACGGCCGGACCCCGGGAGAACGTGGTGCGTATCCGCCTCCATTTTGTTCCCTGTCTTCACAGATTGATATAACCATGCTGATTCAGTTTCACTGATGCATCATGAGAGCTCAGCGAGCAAATATTTAAATAAAACTACAGTTGGATCACAAGTACATCAAGACATTTTGCGTTGGAGTAAATAATTCAATGATCAGCATCCCTATTTATGGTCCTCAAGTACCTTCCCATCAGTATTTGTGCCCTAAAGTGATTGATGACTAGGGTTTTTTTGTTTTTTTGTTGTTGAAAATATGGCTTCAGAGGAATGCTGACATGATCTAATCACTTTTAAAATAGTCATCTTTTCCATGCCTCAGCTCTCGCTCGGGGCTGGTGCAGATGGTGAGCTTGGCACAAAGTGAGACGGCTGTTTAGTCACAAAGCAGAGAAGTGGGAGATGGCTAGGGATAACTGGCGAGCTTTGTGTGCTGAGGTTGTGGGATGAATGGTGATGCTAGTGCAGAAAGCAAGAGAAATGAGAGCTGAGGGAGATCTTTCTCCTCAAATATAGTTTTAGAGATCTTGGCATTCATTAACATGTACCTGCCCCTAATTGCATGAATTGTAAAAGCCTCTTTTGTTATTTTTTTTTTGCTGTTCCATGAATGATCAAAAAACTACTAGTCAGATTTTACATTCATAATCTTTTATGTATCACGAAGGGATAGATCAAACCAAAAAGAAAATTATTTAATCATTTCCTCAACATCATATTTTTCCAAGCCTCTATGACTTACTCTCTTCTGTAAAACACTAAAGAAGATAGTATGAAGAATGTTTCAACTGTTTTTGTTCATACAATGAAAGTCAATGGGCTCCAAAATAACACTGGACCCCTTTGACTTTCATTGTACGGACAAAAAAAGTGTTTTAAACTAAAACAGTTAATTTCAGTTTTCAGTAATTAAAATAATGCTGAAATAAAATATAAATATTAGATGAAAAACCTAAACTTAGGAAACTTGAATGAAAATTAGACATGTTGTCAACTATCTGAAATAAATAGTTACTAATTACTAAAACTAAAATAGAAATACAAACCCCCCCCCCCCCCCCAAATAAATAAATAAAAATAAATACATACATAAAATAAAAATGACAAAAGCATGTAAAATTACTAAAACTTAATCTAAAATGAAAACAAAAATTGAAAATGTAAAAATAAAAGCTAATTCATGTTGGTGATGCAGGTTCGAGTCCAGCCTGCAACATGTCCTGAACCTATTACCTCTTTCTGATAATTTCTTGTTACTGTTGATATCTTGTCACTGTTGACTGTTGTGTTTAGCTATATATTAAAGGGTAACTCTTGCCAAAATTGAACCTAGGTCTTTTGGTAACGCTTCCTTTTACAGTACAGTTACCCATGTAAATACTATGTACTTATTTTAGTAACTACAATTACTGGGTAATAACTAGTACTTACCCTGAACCTACCCTTAAACCTACCCCTGTTCCATGTACTTACCTTATATTAGCCAGTACTTTCTAGGTAAGTACACTGTAAGTACTGCACTGTAAAAGGAAGCGTTACCACTCTTTTTTAAGTAAAAAATTAAAATGTATTTTTTCATGTTTTAGCGCCCTCTGCTGGGGAAGGTGAGACTGCAGTGCGCTGACCTGCTTGAGCACTATGGTGTGCCTGTTCGTGACCCCTCTGTCTTTCACTTCTTGTGGGTGGTGGACTTTCCCCTCTTCTTACCCAAAGAGGATGATCCAGAGATGCTTGAGTCTGCCCACCATCCCTTCACGGCTCCAGTCCCCGAGGACGTCCATCTGCTCTACACCCAGCCCTACAACGTATGTAGTGTCACATCACAAATAGTGGATCATCACAGATTGTCTTTTTTAACCTTACAGAATCATAGCATTTCATTTTGATGGAAACCTGACAGGACATCTTGACAGTCATGAAGATTAAAATAGTAAATAATATACACTATTATTAAACTTATTCTTCTGACAGCAATCACTCCTGTTTTCATTGTCACATGATCCTTCAGAAATCATTGTAATATGATTTGGTGCTAAAGAAACATTTCTTATTATTATCACTCTTGAAAACAGCTGCTATATATTTTTGTGGAAACAATCATGCATTATGTTCAGGATTCATTGATGAATAGAAATTTTAAAAAGAACAGCATTTATTTTAAATAACTTTATAAATGTTTTCACTTTCACTTTTAATCAATTTAATGCAATCTTGCTGAATTAAAGTATGGTTTCCTTTAAGGAACACTTTTGAAACCAAGTGTGCATTTTTCTAGTTTTGCTGTTTTCGAAAATTTGCTCATAGTGATGATTGTCTGATATGAGTAAATCATTCTTTAGAGTCATTTTATTCCAATGAATTAGTCAAATTGGTCTAAATTACTCATTAGCGAGTTGGTCTGAATCAAAACAATTTTTAAAAATCCTTATCCAGTAGTCACAATAATCACAAAAAGATTGAAGGGTTTGTAACCAAGCAATCAAATGAACCAACCTCTGAAATCAAATGTTCCTAGTCAAGGACAAAAGTGAAGTTTCAGATGTGATCAGCATGATATCTATGGAAGCTTATGTGTAGCAATATTCAATTTGAAATGTAATATGCAAAATGATAATGAAATATGTAAAATGACAATGCAATATGTAAAATGGCAATGCATTTCTGTATTTAAATTTACATTTTTCATTACATTTGTGCAACGTTTGGTGCAAAATGAAAATGATAATTCAGTTATATAATTTACATTTGCCATTTCATACATATGTTTTAATATGTAAATTGAATACATATTTTAACGCTTTATAAGTTGCAAAATTAATATGAAAATGTATTAAAGAAATTATTAGATCTGTTTAAAATGGTCAAGCAAAAACTGTAGCAAAATGATCATTTAAATGTTATTTTTCTTAATTGCATTTACACTCACAGTTAAGACACTTGCGATTGCATTTTCATTAAATGTCCCGCAATGAGTGTAGCAAAATTCAATGTGCAAATTGAAAATGCATTCCGAGCCGATCACGCCCCTGCCCCGCCCCCTCCCGCTCTTGTCAATCACTGCATCAAGGCGGAGCTCGGCAACATTTTGAGGTGTTGGAAGGAAACATGGCGGCGGCAGAGCTGGTACGAGCGTAAATTTACTGGCAGATGAAGGGGAGCGTGAACACTAACAGAGAAATTGTAGTGTTTCCGAAGATTATTACGCGTCTGCAGGTGATAGAACAAGTGCGTTGTTGGACGGTCTGGGAGGATGTTCTGCCTTATCACCCGTTTGATGTCAACATTATGCTGCGCTGTTGTTATCTGATGCAGGACTCTGTTAATGATGGTTTCGTTTTGTATTAAATATTCTCATTGTCTGTTACACATATGCTTAACTTTATTCTTATTACTATTAACTATAATTACCCAATAATGTTGTAGATCCTACAGGTTTTCTTTGCAAATGCACCTACTCTAAAATCACAGAATATGACGGGTCAAATTCATAGCTACCAAAAAATTTGACCGCTCTTTATTTCTTCATAACTGACTGTAATGTTCAACAAAGTGACTCATGTGATGTTTAACCATCTCCCTTTTCTATTTTATAAAGCATATTGGTCAGATATTTATAAATATATAGGGTCATCACTCATCACGGAATCTGCCGGGTTTTGATGTCATCGTCTATAATTGGTCTTATATTTTAAAAACCGAACCCGCACAAACAAAACTTTAACCGGCACAAACGAACGAGACTATTTTATTTGGAGGATGTGGGGGGGGTGGGTGACCTCAGAATGAGCTATAAATATTCTTTAAATATCTAAAAAATCGAAGCAGCACAAACAATAAAGCAAAGTAACAGCACAAATGAAGTAAAAACGATTGAGCCTATTTTGCCAACGTTTTGCATTGGTTGGGGGCGGGGCCAACTTCACGCAGTGATTGACAAGAGCGGGAGGGGGCGGGGCAGGGGCGTGATCGGCTCGGAATGCATTTTCAATTTGCACATTGAATTTTGCTACATTCATTGCGGGACATTTAATGAAAATGCAATTGCAAGTGTCTTAACTGTGAATGTAAATGCAATTAAGAAAAATAACATTTAAATGATCATTTTGCTACAGGTTTTACTTGAACATTTTAAACAGATCTAATAATTTCTTTAATACATTTTCATTTTAATTTTGCAACTTAAAGCGTTAAAATATGTATTCAATTTACATATTAAAACATATGTTTGAAATGGCAAATGTAAATTATATAATTGAATTATCATTTTCATTTTGCACCAAACGTTGCACAAATGTAATGGAAAATGTAAATTTAAATACAGAAATGCATTGCCATTTTACATATTGCATTGTCATTTTACATATTTCATTATCATTTTGCATATTACATTTCAAATTGAATATTGCTACACATAAGCTTCCATAGATATCATCATTGTTCATCACAATGTATTGAATCATGACATACAGTAGGTTCCAAAAGACATAAAAAATTTGATCTTTTTAAAATATTTTTTTTATTTTCTTTAACCGAAAATACATGTAGCATAAGATAACATAACAAATGGTAGTATTTGTAATGAAAAATTGTGTATTAAATGAAAAGAAAAATACAAAATGGAAGCATTTTTACTGGTGGTCACAGGCATTTAGACCCCACTATGTATTTTGATGTGCATCATACAGTGAGGTTGTTTGTGACAGCACTAGTCTGTGCTTTTATCACTTTGAAAGTCTACAGTCATGAGCCAAGTTTATCATAGAGGAAATGTATGATCTCGTTCACAAGCTTCCCCTACCTATTTATCTGCTTTCTCAGGTGCGTGGCCAGCATTATGACTTGGTGCTGAATGGCTGTGAGATTGGAGGAGGTTCAATTCGAATCCACAATGCCTCTCAGCAGCTGTATATCCTGGACACGATTCTCAAGGTAATGGAACAAGAGTGAAAAATTACATAGCAAGCCAAGTGCATCTTTTAAAGCATCGAGTTAAAGCACCTGTAATAGATGTGTCCATATACCTGACTGCACAATTTTCTTATTTTTGATTCTTACTTAACACCCCCGCACCCGTGAAAGACAACCCTTTCGGTCGCTGTGGCAACCTATTAAGCTATATTTAACCGTCTTTAAAGAGCATACATGCTTTGGATCTTAAGAGCCAGGGAGAAGAAACATCACATTAGGCTGTTTTTACTCAAGTTGAGTGTGCTATCATAAGATTTGTGTCTACAAAGGAAATCTTTTTGAAGGTCTATTTACTCTCTTGGCACTAAAGTAGTTGTATGGATCTGTACGATTTATACATGGTGAGACTATGAACAATTCCCTTTCAAGCTGAAAAGGCTGTGAATTACAAGGTCCACTGTGTCTTTTTGCCATGCTGTCTGTGTTAAAGGAAGACCCATCACTTCTTGCTCATCTATTGGAGGCTCTGGACTCCGGGGCCCCTCCTCATGGTGGAATCGCGTTAGGTGAGTGAGCATTCAATACATGCTATCTTGGACTTTCGCAAGGTTGTTGGGTACCACTGTGACGAAAGGCCTTGTTGATTACATTCTCCTGTTGGTTAAAGTGGAACGGTCATGCTCAGAAACTGAAATTGCTTGCCCAGCCAAGAAATGTTGGCAGCTTTGTTTTAGTTTGAGACTGTAAACATGAAGCATGAAGTGCCCTTGATCATTCGAGAACTTCTGTTTGGGTTTATTTCTGTGTATGGCAGAACTAGAGCTGTTTTTACAGCTTGCATAACCTGTGATACACAAAATTAGCATGTTCTTGTTTACATTATAAAGATTAAAGAGTATAAAATATGTCTTTAACATCCGAAAGAAATATGTATAATTATTAGGCATACACGTGATGGCCAATAATGGTTCAATAGCAGATATTATGTTCCAAAAAAAAAAATTACTTGTTTTAAATGCTACAAGTGAATTTAGGCATCACAATATTATAATGTACAGTATGACAAATGGATATTCATTTTGAGATTTGCTAAAGATTACATTTACAGTGTTATTAAATTGTGTTTTAAAGATTAAGTTAAAGTGAGCATTTGTTGTCAGCAAATGTCATTTAAATGTAAAAATAGGGGAAATGAGCATGCATGAATAAATTAATTAAATATATATTAGTGTAATATAAATACACTACCATTCAAAGTTTTGTGGTCCATATGATTAAAAAAAAAAAAAAAAATTACGATTTTTATAAAAATAGATTCATTGATGCATTAAATTGAACAAAAGTAAAAATAAAGATAATTATAATGTTACAAAAAAAAAATCTATTTTTAATACATGCAGATCTTATGAACTTTCTATTCATCAAAGTATCCTGAACAAATATATCATGGTTTCCATAAAAATATTAAAATAGCACAACAGTTTTTAACATTTGATAATAAGAAATTGTTCTTGAGCACCAAATCAGCTTATTGGAATAATTTCTGAAGGGTCATGTGATACTGAAGACAAGTAATGGGTGCTGAAGATTCAGCTAATATTTCACAATATTAATGTTTTTACTTTGATCAAATAAATGCAGCCTTGGTGAGCAGAAGAGACTTAAATAAAAATATTTAAAATTCTCACCAACCCCAAACTTTTGACCGTTAGTGTATATTAATTATATGAAAAAATTGCAGATAAAAAATAACTATGCATAATCAATAATGTAACCAATAAGTTGTGCATTCCTAATAATTATAGAATTGATGTTTTTCTGCTGAACAGGGCTGGATCGACTGGTTTCCATCATTGTAGGAGCTCCCAGTATCAGAGACGTCATAGCTTTTCCAAAATCCTTCAGGGGCCATGACCTCATGAGTCACGCTCCAGACTTCGTCTCTGAAGAAGATCTGAAGCCGTACCATATTTCTGTGGTCTGGCCAAGCACAGATACAGGGGGTCAGCAGGACAACTCAATGTAAGCACTAAAATGGTTAATATGTGTATGAAGTTCAGTGTCGCCATCTGTGCCCACGCTGGTGATGGACTTCAGAGCAGAAGCAGCAGGATCACTTCCTGTCCTGAGAGAATTGAGCACCATCTTCTGAGTGAAGGCCATGTCTGTGTCCTCTACATCACGAAACTCTTCTCATCTGCTGCATGAACAGATCAGTCATGTCATATAATTGCTCTGTAATTAGTGTTTTCAACTGTACATTTTGTTATTACATTTGTTTTAGTGGAAAAACTATGAAATCCAGAGAGAGCATGGCTGAATATTTCAGTAGGGGGCAGTGTTGTTCCATTCCATCTTTTTACATTGCTTCACCCCCCTCTCCACATGCCCTGTGTTGAAGTCCGCGTGCATCATATCCTAGATTTTTTTCCCCACCACCAGACATACCAAATAAAGCTACATTTCAGTTTTTCTCAGCGATGCCTTATCTGCAAAAGCAGATGCTCATTTTTCATGCCCAGGTACCGTACAGCTACTCATTACAGCCAGTGTTGTTTTAAAACAGACCTGTGTGCTCGCCGCCATGCTGTGAACACAGTTCTTTGTGTATGACATGCTGTTTTTGCTGCTCTTCCAATGACTTTTACTTAAGTACCCAATCTATTTACATTACCATGTTTACTTGGAAGTACCTGCCCACATTCGGTACGTTTACATTAGTGCTCTAGAGACAATTTCAGTACCGAAGCTCAGCTATTTGATATAGAGCGCTTCGTCTAGGTCTGGGATCTGAACTACGTGACTATTGTCAGCGTTAATAGTTTAAAAATGCGCGACCCTTATTTTAACATTCTGATTTAACCCACTTAAAAGGGGATGGTTTAATTGTTATCATTTACTTAAGGTTCCAAACCTGTTTGATTTTCTTTCTCATGTGGAACACAAAAATATTTTCAAAAACATCTTTTTTTTTTCGTTTTCCAAAATAATCTTCTTTTGTGTTCCCTAGAAAAAAGAAATGTATGCAGTTAGTGATGCATCAAAATTTCAGCAACCAAAAATACTCGCCTGAAACGGCACAAAAACGAATTTTCAATTTCAGCCAAAAAAGAGGGCTGAAATCAGCGCTTCTCAGATGACACATTGTGACTGTGTCTATTTTATGCACACAGCGTGCATAAGTTACATTAGGTAAACATGTTAGCAGTGTGTACCCATTTCATTGTGCCTAAAAATAACGCTAGAGTTGCAGTATGTGAAATTTGTTCAGCTAAAATATAGAGTTGCTGAAGAATTTTGCTACGACTGGTTTAATTTACTATCTGAGAACATGACACTTTGAACTGAACACAGAGTTTAGTTCCCTAATTTAATCACAGAATCATTGGCTAACTGTAAAACTTTTGGTATTTTGGTCAAAAAAAAAAAAAAAAAACTAGATTAAAAACTGGATTACTAGTACAGGTTTGGAGCAACATATAAGTGAGTAAATGATGAGCATTTTGGATGTTCGATATATGGCACAATGATTTATATTTCACAAATAAAACGATATTTCTATTTTTAAACACACTGCAGCTACTCAAGCTATTTTATTTTGCCGTCCAAAATAAAATTATTTACAAATATAATGTGTGAATTGCTTGTGTATTGATTGTGCTAAATTTTCACAATCAGCGCTTCAATCTTTCAATCTTTATTCATGTTCAAGTAACCTGTCCGTTTCGTCAAAGCAAGTGCGATTTTCTGATCTCTTAATGGAGCTGCTACCTCCCTGATCTGCAAGAAGAAAATTGCAGTTTTCAAAGAATGCGATCTCAGGCATCATTACTCCACTCAGCATGCGGTGCAGTCTGTTAGGTATGAGTCTGAGATGAGCTGCTCAACTCCAAAAAGATCTAACCATGCATCATTAATTGTATATAGTTAAAATCCATAGTTGTAAAACCCTGTTGCCCGGTTCACAGACAAGGCTTAAGCTAGTCCCAAAATAAAGTGTATGTTTGAACTGTCTTAACTGAAATCAACTTGCACTGACATACCTTGAAATGTGTCAGTGCCATTCTGCCCTACAAAGGCAAAAGGCAGTAACTTCCATTTTTGGGACATTCAAGACATCATGTGGATAAGTATCTTGAGTCAAATCCGTTGTTTTTTCGAGAAAATAATGGGTTGTCTTAACAGTAACTTCTAAAAGCACAGGAGAAACCAAAGCAGAACACCGAAACACCAGTTACCCTTTGCCTTTTTTTGTGTAGGAGCAAAAAAAAAAAATTCAGCTTTGCGAATTGAGTTTGGATACTCTGCTATCTTTAGCTTTTGTTTTTGTTTTGTTTAGAAGTAACTATCCTGGAGTTATGGTATTCTGCCTTTGATTTACTGTCCATTAACAGGGAACTACACTGCGACCAAAATGGTCGCATATGCGACCTTTTGAAATGCCATTGCGACCCTAATTTTTAATGGGTCGCAAATGTATCACTGACTATTTTTGTACCTACCTTATGTTTTAGGCAATATGCTATGATTTACTATGAGCATTTATTAAAACAGAAATGTGTAGCCTATTTTAAGTATACGTTTTTATAACGTGCTCTGAGCATTCAACACATCAAGTTGGCTTCAGCCCCGCGCGAGAGAGAGAGAGGCGCAGGCGCGATCGAACTGTGTGTGAGAGAGAGAGAGGCGCAGGCACAGGCGCAGGCACGGACACCGGAACAGACATCGGCACGGACACCGGCACTGACGTTGTCGTGTGACCGCCGGACTTGGACTTGGGACCACTGGACTTGGAAGTGGGACTTTCTTTGGGAGTCTCTGGCGTGGCGGCCATAACATGACGAGACTCTGGTGTAGCGACCATTATGTGAGAGGACTCTGGCATGATGGGTACTGAAGGACTGCAGGGTTCCTCAATTGCTTCTCCCACAAAATGGATTTTTCCCCTTGGCAATCCAGAGCGAATGGGTTCATGGAAACAGACACACCCAAAATGTATAAGTATAAATAGCATCTAACTACTTTTTACATTGCAAAGAAAATATTGCTATTTTTATATATAAAAAAAATAATCTATTGCTATTTTCCCTCAGCGTAAATAGAATCAAGTTGCTACTTACACTTACACAAATAGCCGCTGCATTACAAAAAATGTACGCACAAGAAAGAAGAAAGCTGCCTTATGAATAGCAATGGTGGGCCTAAACCATAGACTGTAAAAAAAAAGATGGATGACGCCCCTTCGCTCTCTTCCATTGGTGAGAACTGAAGCCGCCAGTGTCCCGATATGGCGCTGACATCTTGGGACTTGAGTCTATGCAGTATCGATCTCGGGACAAGACCTGCGCAGTAGTGAGCAGGAAGTAAAGCCTCAAAATCAAACCCCGCCCTTTCCCTGCACTTTTTTTAAGTAGCCTATGTCTGCTCCGTTCCTCAGTTCTGCTCCAATTTTTGACGTCTGTTGATTGCAGTACGACAAGAGGCTTATTAAAATAAAGTAAATACAATCTCCTCAGTCTTCCGAAGATCCCCAAAAAAAAAGTCAGAACGGTGCTTCAGTGACAGAGAACCTGTCAATCACAGCTGTCAATCATGACGTTACACCACCATACGGGGTTTATGACCTATACTAGGACCAGCCACCGGGGGGTGATCGAGACGTTTTGGCTTCACTTTTCAGGGCTTGTGCGGCACGCTTGGCCTGGACCAAGGACACACGGACACCGGCACGGACACCAGCACAGACACACGGCTCGGACACCAGTACATTGGACACTCGCACGGGCATCGACACGATCACGGACACCGGCACGGACACACAGACACCAACACGAACACAAGCACGTTCACCGGCATGGACATCGGCACCGTTACGGACACCGGCACGGACACCAACACGAAATCCGGCAAGGACATTGACATGGACACCGGCACGGATATTGGACATCGGCATGGACATTGGACACCTGCACAGACATCGGCACGGACATCGGGACGATCACGGACGTGGAAAATATTGCTATTTTTATATAGTGGATATATAATCTACGCACAACGGCACGGACATTGGACCCCGGCACGGACATCGGAACGGACACCGGCACAATCACGGACACCGGCACAGACACGAACACCGGCATGGACACCGGCACGGATACGGACACACCGGCACGGTCACGGACACCAACATGAACACAGGCACGGACATGGACACAGTTCAAGTTCCACTTTATTTATCCTTAGAAAAGAAAATTTAGTGTGCAGCAGGATATCTAAAAAACATAGAAAAAAGCACCACCAGATGCCAACAACATTGTAAACAAAACAGGACACACATCAACACATCAATGGAGACACTCCTTCCCCCAAAACCAATGACAGAATCCAATTGAACAGTACACAGGTCAGTATGTCATAATGAACAATGACAGAAATAAATTATTAATAAATAAGCATATATGAAAATTTCATAAGATGTCACTCAAGTGAATTCAGATTCCTAATAGCCACAGGAATAAAAGAATCCCTGGCATGTCTAGTTCTTAACATAGGTAGCTTAAAACGGCGACCTGAGGGGAGCAGATTAAACTCCCCAAAGAGTGGGTGATCAGGGCAATTTCGGTTAGCCTTACCCCGGACCCGTTTATCATATGTTGCAGCTGTGGTAGCTGTACCCCAACCACCTTAGACGCTACATTTACCAGCTTTGTTAGATTACACTTGTTGATCATTGAAAGGCCACTGTACCAAACCACAATACAAAATGTCAAGATTGATCAAGAGTCCTGCACACGATGAATGATTTCATCTTCCTCAAGAAGAAAAGTCTCTGTTGGGCCTTTTTACAGGCAGAATCTGTGTTGCTCTCAAAAGATAATTTGCTGTCAATGATGGTTCCTAAATATTTATATTCATCTACTGTCTCAACATTCATGGTCTGAATAATAGTTTGTGAAACATTGTGCTGTAATCTACGGTAACCAATAATCATATCCTTTGTCTTGGAAACGTTGATAGACAGATAGAAGTTTTCACACCACGCAATGAAATCATCAACTACAGGGCCATGCCCATCCTCAGTATCCAGGGCCATGCCCATACTCAGCATCCTCAGCCCCCCGTAAGGGCTTTTGAGGATAAGATACCATTAACCCTAACACACTGCGACCTGTTCGACAGAAAATCCAGTATCCAGCCAATTAAGTTAGGGTTCAAGTTAAAAAGAGACTGAAGTTTCTCAGCCAACAAGTAGGGCTGAATGGTATTGAATGCTGAAGAGAAGTTGATAAAAAGGAGCCTCGCAT